TCCAACCACCCTGGAGAACAGACCACGCCCAGTCACAAAAAAACGGAAGAACACACTCACGCGAAACACTTGACAGCGATTGGAACATGTGAACGGGGAGGACACTTCGCTCCTCACACAGGACGCGCAGCCAGCAAATGCCGTTCTTCCCCCAAACAACGGAGAGACTATTCTTCGCTCGCCAGTCTCGAGTCTTGGCCCTATCATAATTTCTGTAAACACTCCTCGAAAGTAAACACTATATTTTTCCAGCGAGCGCTTGTTTAAAACAGACGTGCGCGTGGAGCCCACAAAAAATTCAAAAAAAGCATCCAATGATAAATTCCTGAAAGATCTTAACAAACACGCATTATCGTGCGTCTTGGATCTCAGGCGCGTGGGGGTGAATGAAGAGATTTGCGGCCTTACGCACGCGCATTAACGCCACATACACAAATAAGGAAACACCAAGAAAGTACCACAGCCGACTCGAATGATAAGTAATGCATGTCCATCGCACGATTTCTCTAACAACTACAAGAACGTTTACAATCACTAACCACCACACAAACATCGATAGGGGCAACTTGTTTAGCACTATTCAGATTTCTTAATAAAATACACCAGCGTCAGTTATTTGCTACCGGGAGACGCAAAATTATGACATCTCGCCCTCTTATCCTCTCAAGATTCTATAAATTCTTCCACTGGCTTTTTATGTCAGCACCAACTTCAGTCTTCAGATAAGATAACATTATTTTGCCCCAAAGTCCATATTCTGATTCAACAAGCTCCAGCCTCGATGCTTTACAAGCTCGTACATAAGGCCTACGCAAGCAAACGCACGCCACGGGTCCGCAAATCTGGATCTCCCGGTTTATTTTTCCAGCCGCATCTCGCACCGCCAGCGCTCGAGCCCGCGCGCCCCACGGCTCCCGACGCGACGGCCAGCGCTCGGCGGATCCAACGCAATGCAAGTGGAAATCAAGAAGTAAGAAATCTACCAAGATGGAAGGCTAGTAGGCACAAGGACAAGAGTATACTGGTAACATCTAATAACAACGGATGAGAAAATACAATTGGGGGGGGGCGATCGAAGAGAAGAAGGAACGAAGGCAAGTCGTTGCCAATGTGAACGAACGAAGAAAGTTATGCGGAGAAAGTAATAGTGTAAAGAAACGAAGAATCTTGAATTTATCAATAAAAAAGTATGAATTATCCTAGTCAACGCCTTTGAATTCTGATAAAACACCTTTCCCTATCTATGCATACGTATCTCTTAATGCAAGAATGGGCCTCAAATGTGTGCACGCACTATTTTTATTAAAAATCATTTTTCTATTTGCTTTCCTTCAGAGCCCCGATTAGGTCCAAGTATCGCACCACGGCAGAGCCCGATCTGCCCGGCCACACGCGACGGGCCGCGGTCGCCAGGCGTCGAATATCGCGCGCGAAATTCACGGGCAGGAGCCTTCCCGACCGCGAATCTCCGCCCCGCCTTGGCCCCCCGCGGCCGGCCCGACGGCCCCGCCCCCGGACGCGATCGCCGCGCCAGCCACACACAATCGCGCCGCTCGGGATTTATACATTGATTTCCAACCAGCAGCAGCACCCGACCACGCAGCGCGCCGGCAGCCGCGGATTTATTGGCGGCGCGAGACGTGCTACGACGGCCGATCAGCCAGCTCGCCACTCGAGTGGGGGGACCCGCGCGTTTAGTGGAAAACTATAACCCTGACCAACCTCAACATGTCGCAACATGGTACTGCTATGGCGTAACATCCGCCTAGCTTCACGGAGACCAAACATTACATCAGGGAATGTTGAAGTACTTTTGATCATCAAAAACGCATTTACAGTCCATATTCTCCTTAATTCCAAACAAGTCATATAAATAACCTGCGGTACATCTGCATGTATTCAGATGCTCCAGAACGTTTAGAAAATATTTCATTAGAAATTCTTTGAAATGAACCTAAAGATAATAGAAAATTCTGATATATTTCTACAAAAGTACACCTCGATAAAATTCAGACGATTCAAAACAAAATCCAAATACAGAAGACTGAAGTGTTCATCAAGCGAATGTGCGAGAATAGGAGCTCAATAAAAGTTTGTTAACCAGTCCAAATACGTGATGTTCAGATACGTAGGACTGAAGCGTCTCCAGAAAAAAAATGGCTACCCTGCTTGTAGTAACTAATCAGCATAGTTATGCCCTTCGACAGTTGCACTTAGGTTTGTTCACAAAAAACCAACGTTATATTAAGGTCTTACATAACTCGTGGAGATGATAACGTACAAATTCCGCAGTCTGGTTAGGCGAGATCTTACGTAGAATCTGTCAGCTTATACTTTATAACCAAAATTCATTAGACGACCTCCCCTGCCGAATGTAAAATCCCGACGGGACTCTCGAAGCCAGCAGCGGAGCCTGGCCACCCCTGAAAGACGCGTTTACCCGAGCTGTCAGGCAACGCGATGGTACATCCTCTCTTTTTCCTTCGCTTTTTAAATTCCTGGCGTGTCTTCGCCGTCGACTTGCTTGTTATTTCTGGAAACATCTCTGGCGGCGCAGTTAAACCTTGTAATGAGTTTTATCTCCACGGGGAGAGAAGAGACGATGGGGCAGCAGCGGTTAGATCTTATTTGGGGCAGCGTCGGGCCCTGGTCGAGCTCTCCGCCCGGCTGTGACGGAACGGGCGCGCCGTACAGCGCCGTCAGGCGTCGCGGCGCCCGAGGAGCTACGGCCCCTGCCTCCTCAGAACCGGATCGCAATAGAGAGTGATGGACCGGTATTGGAAGTAGATTGATGCAGGTCTGCTCTCCACACGATGCACTACCAGTAGTAGTAGTAGCAGCAGCAGTAGCAGCAGATTCGTCCGGTAAATGGATGTGTTCTACACACGCGAGAAAGTTGGGAAGAGTGCGGACTCACGGTACGGCGTAGCAAGAATGGTTAGAGTTGGGTGTATCTTCACCCTCATCTTCACCTAGACAAAAAAATAAAAAGCTGCGAGCTCACAACAGGCTAAACGACTTCACACTGGCTGAGCGACCGGCCGGGGTGAGGTATAATGTATAGCGGAGTCTGTGGCTTCAGCAGCACCTCAGAATACATTTAGCTCGCTGGCTAGGCGAGGAAAAATACTTGTTTTCAGAATGCAAATGAACCGGCTACCATATACAATTTTCTGAGCTTGCACAGACACCGGAGGCTGGCACAAAACGATTCAATCTTTGCCAGATGTTCTCTGTCCCACTCGTTAATAGTATGCATGGGAATACTTGCCAACGACTGGATGACACGGCTCTGCAAACCTAAGCCAAAATCGCGATCTGGGCAGAGTGCCCTTCACTGTTTGTTTTTTTATTTAATTTTTAGAATCTTCACATCGCGCTTACAACGTCCAAATTACGTTTACATGCGCATGCCCAAACTACTTCTTCATGTTGTTTAGACCACCCATTATCACAATGACCAAATTTTCGATTTAACTTTCCTTTCAGATTATTTTCCCTAATCTGGGCAACAACAATGTGTCATACATTCTTTCAGTCTTGACCAATCACTGGTCACAACTGAAAGTTGCCTCAGAAAGCGTGTCCCAACCTCTTCTTAAAAAAAGAAAAAAAAATAATAAAAAGAAGAAAAACTGAAAAACGGAAAAAGAAGACGACGTCGTATGGGGGTCGCATTTTAAAGGCAGGCGGGAAAGGGGTTGCGCGTGGCCTGGGAAGGGTGGCACCCTCCCGGTAGCAGCCATTTGCGTCGAAGCGTGCGGGCGGATGCCCTTCGCACCTGTCCGGGCACACCTCGCGCCTCCGCCCAACGCTTGCGACCCCCCTGGGGCGGGGGGGCGTTCCGTCGGGCAGCCGGGGGCGGGGAGCGGGTCGGGCGGCAGCTCATGTGTTTAGGTCGCACTCGCTGCGCCCTGCCGCCGTCGCCCGGGCTCTCCGCTCACAACACTCTTAAATATTTATCCCGCGGAAGAGACAAGTTTTCCTTTTGCGGGCCACTTCTCCGCAAGTTTTTACGTCATGTTCACGACAGAGCCCATAAAATATGAAAAAGTTGAAAAAATATCGCTATTTTGAACCGGACCTCGATTTCGGAACAGCGTAAATATCCCTCTGTGGCTCTACAACAACACACTTTATATATTTTCCTGGCGCCTTCCCCGCACTTCCATGCAACATTTCTCCACAGTTATTCCGGACGGCGGAAGAAGGAAACTCGGTTCTTTCAACACACGCACGGGCAGTCCAAAAATACCAAAAACTTCCACAGAATGGGATCCTCTGAGGATTTCAATAATCACACGAATCTCCTCGCGACATTTCCTATAACAGCGAACGTCACTCAACACCAATTTATTCGGTACCCGCGCATGCAACCACCATACTGGATGCCAAACACTGAACGAGAAGCACGCAAAAATCAGTCACTGAACGCATAGTAGGGAGTCTTCTGATCGCACTACAGACGGTATTCCTTAATAAAAAAGGTTGTCTTAGTTTTAGAATGAAAAGGGAAAGAAATCATGTACGCACAACACACGTTTCACACAAGAAATGGCATTTGAATACTGCGCTTAATGTCATTGTTTCTTCCTAATGATGGTTTGGATGCACTTTACATGGACCTACTGCCAGAATGGGGTACTCAAGCAATAAAAATTAAGAGAAGTCGGAGTTTCCTACCCCCAGCTAACTAGCAATTTCCCACCCATATCGTGTCAGTGGGCCGGGAGGGCGGGCTGGCGGGCGCGGAAAAAGCGTCCATGCGCCAGCGGGCGGGGCCCGCCCCCGCGGCGCACGAGTCGAAGCCACGCCGGCTTCCGCCCAGCCACGTGCCGCGCGGCGGCCAGCGCCGACCCGCGCGGGCTGGCCGGCCCGCCACCCGGCCAACGGGCCGCCGCCGCCCCAGCGGGCCTCGCGCCGCGCCGCGGCGGCAGCTTCGACAGCCCGCCCACGCGCGCCTCGCCACGCGGCCACGGCACGCCCGCCGCCTGCCTTACCTTGTAGAGATACTGATCGAACATCCGACACACATCCACGTCCGTGCTTCCCCCCATACAGTACGAAGCATCCATAATAGAGTCGGAAGGCGCCGGCGGTCGTAGGGGGCGGCTGCTGGCGAAGGGAGCCGCGACGCTCCTTCCACCTGACCTCGCGCTGGCGGCGCTGAGTCCACACGGCACGCGCGCGTCGCACTCGCACGAGACAACAGCACAACCACACGCCGGTGACCTCGTCCACTGGTCACTGCTTCAACGCCCTGTCACTCTCTTCCCTGTTCCCGACAGCACACTCACTCACACACGCGCGATTTCACCACTAAACACCGTTCGCTGGGAGAAGCGATTTTCCTCTCTAACAGTACTCGAGACACTCTGTACTTATGGCGCTGGCGGCGACAACGGACGAGAACCGATGGATTAACACCACTTCGAAAGTTTGGTTCATGTTTGTGTGCGTGTGGCGTGAGTGTGGCGCCCGCGTGTCCGCTCGCTTCACGTCGCCGACGGGGCGTGTGGGTTGGCACGCGCCGCGCACAGCTCACGGAACACAGTGGGCGCGCTACGGCAGGCAGGAGGCACGACAGCGGCAGGCTGGCGCTCAGGCAGGCAGGCCGGCGTGGGCGGCGGCAGCGGGCGGCGGGGGCGGCGCAAGCACAACAGCAGGGCAAGCAGGCAGCCGACACGCGGAAACAGCCGGGGCGCAGCGGGAGCAGGATGGCGACGCGACGCGCGCGCGGTTCACTACGGGAGTAGAAGGCCCCGCTTTCCCATCATCCAGCGCGCGAGCGCGGCGCGGCCCGGCCCGGCCGGCTCGCCCCCCCCTCCACGCGCCCGCAGCCCCCCACCACCGCGCCTCGCGCACTCCATTTCACGACGGCCGCTCGCCCTCCCTCTCGCTCGCGCTCTCGCTCGCGCCGCTCGCCGCCTCTCGCTCGCGCCCGCCCGCCACGGCGCGCAGCCGTCGCGCCGTTCCATTACTCCCCCTCTCCCGCCGACTGAGCTACATCAAAACCCAACTCGGTATAGAGGGAACTTGTCCCCCTTCTCTTTCAATGTTCTCTCTTCACTCTCTTTGCCCCTCCACTTCCCCTCCGGGCCGCCCTTACCCGCGGTAAAATACCCCATCGGGCCCCGGAGATGCGCGGTACGGACGAAAACGCGCACCGTCCCGCGCAGATTTGAAAACCTCCATATTATCAACATGTCTCGCAGCGAAGGAAAGGGGAAATAACAAGAGGCGCATTTCCATATAATGCTACTTTCATGCCCTCCCTCCTTCGGCCTGCGCCGCTCGCGATGCGAAAGGACGCGATTCGCAAATCACACAGTTCCTGCGAGATGGCCGCGACCCTCTGTCTTGCCGCGATCGCTCTTCCCGCCGGGAGACCCCGTCCCCGTTCACTCGCCCCCCGCCGACGCGCCGGGGTGAAAGACTAGACACCCAGCGCACAACGCAGAAATTTCTCCGAAACACCCTTTTTCTCCTTCCTCAACGAGGCTCTCGAAGAAACAAGGAGGGGGAAAGCAAATAGCATTAGAAATCTGCAAACAGAATCTAAAGTACCCCCAGCTCATTTGAATGTGTGTAGAACACAATTATACTGGTTCTTGGCAAACGGACTGCAGACGTACAGTAACACCATTAGAAAGGCAACCTCGACCGTTGGAGAACCGACTACGAGTACATTGCTGCTCATCGGAAAGAGAACGAGTCGCTTCGTAGGCGACCCTGCGGAAACGGGTACCCATGGATACCTTGTTCCGTAGCACAGAGTACCGTTATAGAATGTCGAGATTATGGTGGGCTGCTTACATTCCTATTATATTACAATATACAGCCTTTATTCTATTCTACAGTACTCTCGCTAAAAATAAACCTAAACCTCCGACATTCATAGAAATTTCAAATCACTTTCTAAATCGACCAGTTGAAATCCAATCTTGTTAAAATTATTGTTTGGTACGATCCACAAAATACAGAGTTCAGCTCCGCAAAATATTATTAACAGTTTTTTAGCCATCCTCTATAACACGAAATATTTTTGAACCCTAGAAATGGACCTAGGTAATACTGAAGTGTGTCGGAATTTCCAGCTGAAAAGAACCTTAAACACTGATTTTACGAATGTAAATTCGAAATGGTATTGTTGAGGTGATTCCAATTGGTACTTCTCCTCTCTACCGGGAGAAGTGCAGGACACCAACTTATGCCATTGCAATACCTCTGACTGGGATTCCTGGGGTTTGAGTTCCGACTGGGGTAGGATTTTTTACATTAGCCAAACTACTGTCGCTATCTCGATGAGAATTCTAGCGGCCGGCTACTCACATCGGCAGTTTTCCGAGCTTTCTCCGATCAGTTCCAGGCGAATGACGGATCAGTACCCTATCAAACAGTCCCCGGACCGCGCGCGATCTTTCCTTCCTCTTCCTTGCCCCATCCTCACACCTTATACACACTCACACTTTCATGCACTGCACTACCCCACATGGCGGGAGACGAGTCGGAAGTCGAGCTGGACCCGGCTGCCGCGCTGCCCCGCTGCTGGGAGATACCTGGTTGGGGTTAACGCCACTAGCCGGCGGTAGGTGGTGCCGGCTCTCGCCATCCAGTGGAGCGAGATCATCGCCACCGCAAAGGCAAAACATGCACTACACTTGCGGGACCAATGACCTCACCGGTTGACGCGCCCGGAACCATTAGTAATCAACCTTTTCCTCTCGCTACTAGACGAAGGAAAATTAAAAAGGCAGGACACATTCTTGGGAGTGTGTACTATGGCAATCCAAGTATTTAAGCGGGCTGTGTGACGCAAGAGCTTGGATTGTTTCATCGATTGATTATTATGTTTCCGGGCCTTCAATTGATACGGCCATTCGACCCGTAAATGCATACTATATCCCGGAAGGTGTTTCTCCCCCATTAAAGGATTTCACCGAGTTTCTATTATCCTTAAGTAATTACTGTATGATATTACTCCTTGATCAGGATTATTCATTGATGTTGCTCATTCGAAACCGTCTTTTTTGAATTACCATTTCATATCCTTTGAAAATATTTTCAACGTCGTCACATACTGATAATATGCAATATATTTTCAGCATCATGTATGAGCATCTGTTAGAAGTATGGTTCACGAAAATGTTAGTTTTACGTTGGTAATGGAAAATGATTTCAACCTTTTGGATTCCACGTGGGAGAGTTGGCGGTCTGCACCGCCTTCATTCGCCATGTGTTGGCAACAGCAGCCTCTCGCAAATGAACTCTTGACCTCACGCGACAGTCGAAACTTCCTCCCTCGATGGAAGCATCAGGTTGCACACAGATGCACGTTTAATCTGAAACCGGAAAGTCTCACACGTGGGAGTGAAAAGGGTTAAATCGTTTATAATTACGGAGATGTCTTCAGTGGTTTCGGGTTAATTTGACGCAATAAAAGTGGTCGGCCAATGACGGTTAAATGAGGATATGAGAAGCAGCAAACAATTTTTGCAATGAGCCTTGAAGTAAAGAACGCATACACACATCTGTAGGCAAAAGAGAGTGAAAAAGACTATAGAGAGAAACAGTGCGACTCCTGATACAGGAAACGTCTTACATTTCGAAAAATCCTGTATTTCGAATTATATTTGAAAGCGAAAGATATTTCAAATTCTATTCAAATTAGAATTTCGGAAACAACATTTCGAAAAAATATTTTGTAACATATTAATCAGGAATTCCCGATTGTATTCAACAATTTGTTGTCCGTATTCGCTAAAATTAAAAATGAAAAGCATTAAAAAGTACAAAATGACATCGGAAATGATGCGAAACAATTTGCATTCCATTGTCAACGATAATGTTCTGCAGAAATAAATCGAATGATTGAAAAGTATATTTATTATTTTCCTTTAATCACTAAAGACGAAATAATATTAAAGCTAAATAACATACTGCTTCCGCAGTCAGAGAAATCGAAGCTATTTTTGGCGATACCCGACACCAACGCTATCATTCAGTGGCACGGGGAATTTTCCGAGAAAAATGGGTTGTAGAATGGGATATCGATATCTGGAATGTGAAAACAAACAAAAGGAGTAGTGAACATGTCGACGTATTCCAGTTACCGAAGGAAATAATTTAGAAGAAGATATTTATAAAGCATTGACTACGATACTGATTTGTTCTACAAATGCACAAAATTCATTGAACAACACAACACAATACACAATTTTCATTTCTGCCGCAAGTTCTTGCGAAAAAGGCTACAAGGACACATACAATTTTAATTTTAGATTCTCCCATGTCCTCCAAGATGAATTAATGCCATTATTGTAATCAATAACTATAAGAAGAGAAATGTGTCAAGTTCAATTTGGTGCAGCCAGGGCCGGCTTAGGTCGTTGGTCTCTTTCCCCTCTCCAGTCACCTCCCCAGGGGAGGGAGTCGCAGCCCGTCTCCCGACGCTCTCGTATGTGGCGTAGTGCGCGTCAGCGTATGAGTGAACGGGGAACGCCAAGGGGCACGTGGGCAAGGGCAGTGAAGAGACGATGGCGCATGGGCCCGTGGCACTGCTCTGGCATTCGATCAGAGAAACCACGGATTACTATTGATCTCTAGCTGCCGGCCCCTAGAGACTAGACTTCTCCTCCAGATGTCCAAAATCCGCCACCGTCTGGGGACGAACTCTTGACCTCTCAGTCAAAGACGGTGGAGCAGCTATTGTCTGAGCCATCTCAGTTGGCACGAGCATCGCTGACATATTTTGCGCACTCCTCAGGAGGCCTTTGACCATGACATGGAGAAGAGGGGTTGCGGCGGTTATGGAACTGTGGCTCTGCTTCGCGTGCGGAAATCGTAGCGATGGACACGATGTGAAGAAATCAGATTACAGTGAACTTCGACTCTGATCTCTCAGATACTCCAGCGTCCAACTGCCACCCTTCTCCAGAGTTTGCCTCTCCAGTAGAGACAAAGTGCTATTATTCGCACAGAGATTGGTAATCAGGACGATCGAAATCTGGTAAATAAACCATGTGTTCGAAGTTATTTCGTAATTTTTATCTAATTTAAATTAAACTAACATAGACGCGGAGAGTGAAGATGAAAAGAAACGAATGAAAAATCCGAGTCAACGACGTGTCTACTGCACTGATAAAAATACCAAACACAAACGATTCTACACACTTTTTTCAAACAATTAGAATTACAGTAGATTCCGGTAACAATGACCTTTGGGAGCTAACATTTGTGTTTAATATCGGACATTCACTATATACAACAACAGAATAATATTCAGTTTTTCAACTACGACTAGGTTTATTATCTCAGAGATTCAGTTAAATAACCTATCATCGCGAATTCAATATTTCAATGTCTTCGAGCTGACTTCACACTATATTCTACCTCTTGAGCTGGAATATTTCCTTCATATTTATATCTTATTCGTCATCACACGTGTCTTCTTCTGTTCTGAAAGATGCTTACACTGCATTCTTGGGGCCAGAGCCAGATCGTATTTTACTAGTTTGCAACTTGTGGTCCGCGTCCATGGAATATTCAAGCTGGAGAGATCTGCCAGTGATGAACTAAAGGAATTCCGTGTAGCACACTCCTCCAGTCCTTCCATTATCGATAAATTACATAAAATAACTGAGAATCTCTATCGGCAAACCCGCTGACTAATCAAACATCCTAAAATGAACTTCCTTATGCGTGAATGAGTATTTTCTGTAACCTTCTATGCACCTTCCCACCTTGTGAGAAGTGACTAGTTTCGTTACATACTCAGGAATGTAGAATAAATA